GGTTGTCGTGGTAAGTGAAGAACTGGAGGCTGACCATCCAGGGCCAGGCCCTGTGCATGGCCGTCTGCCCGCCCACGATGCGCGCGCTGCCCTCTGCGGTCTGCCTGAACTGCCGCCCGCAGAAGGCACTGCGGAGAGAAGGGGCGCGGTGCAGACCAAGAGGGGGCTGCGCGCGCTGCGGGGCCGTGCGGGGGGAAATGGCGGTGGCGGGGCTGAGCTCCTGTGTCTGGCGGGTGTGGTCACAGGTGCGGAAAGGGGAAAGGTCGCGAGGGCCCTGGAAGGGGGGGCACTCAGACGGGGGGTGCAGGGTGCCACGGCCCAAAGCCTGCAGGACGGATCCTGGGGCCATGACAGGAGCAGCTGCAGGCGGATGCCACAGCCCCAGGTCTGGGGACGTGCGGGAGCCGCAGGTGGACGGAAGGCCTCAAGCTACAGGGGGCAGCGCCTGGGCCTCCGGAGTCAGCCGCAGCGCGGCCGTCTGCAGGTGGGCAGGGACCCTGAGACTCAGGGCCCGAGGTTCAAGAGGCGGTGGGGCCACCGCATGGGGAGGGTACACGGGGTGTGTTGGGGACGAGCCCACAGCAGCCAGGGCACCGGGGGCTCTGGGGTCTGAGCTGGGGTCGGGGCCACAGGAGCTGTGAGGCCCAGGGGCTCCTAAGGGCCCAGCATGGCCTCTCTCCAGCCCGGACAGAGCCCGTCCAAGTGGCTCTGCTCTGCAGAAAACAGCCTCCCGCCAAGGTGTCCCGACACTTACTCACACGAGCTGTTATCTCTGGCGGCCGCGGACGCTGCCAAGACCAGCAGAGCGGCAGTTGGCAGCATCTCCACCACAGTCGTGCCCGGCGGCCCGGAAGCCCAGTGACCTCACAAAGCCCAGTGGCCTCCTGACCAATCAGCAGGGCCACCGCCCCCGCACCCCCTTGCAGCCAGCCAGTCAGGAGCCTGACTCCCAGCTCAGGCTCCCCAGGGCAGTGGGGACTCTCGTGCGGCCCCACCCTGTGTCCCAAGACCCAGTCGCTCTCCGCAGGTCCCACACCATCCGAGGCTCTAGCTATGTCGGGTGTAGGGTCTGCCCGGCCCACGAGCTGTAACCTCGTCCTCAGTCCAAGCCCTGGGTCCAGGAGCGGCTCGGTGGCTCTGACCAGAGGTGCGATGTGGGCGGTTAAGGGTGACAGGCCCGGACGCGGGTGCTGGGCGCACGCTGCCAGCTGCTCTTCAAAAGGCTGCTCTGCATGTTTGCGATTTAGGGCAGAGCCCACCTCCCGCAGGGCCCTACGTTCTGCCTGAGTGGACCTGGCCGGGCGAGGCGTCTCCGACTCCTGAGTATCACCAAGTGGTATTTCTTCTGATTGTCAGGAGTCAGCATCTCAGCTACCAGAGTGTAACAGACACTCACCTCATATACCTGGGTGTTAAAAGCCTCACCTCCCCTGCAGGAGTGCAGGGGGTCACAGCTCTACCTGCGTGAGCGGCCGCCTCACCTGCTCCGAGTGCCAGAGCCCAGCCAACCTGAGGGTCAAGAAGTCGCATGCACCCCATGCGTGCGTCACGAGGTCCCACCTGTCCACCTGAGTGCCAGGACGCCTCGAGTCCTCGTCCTGAGCATGGAGGGTTTTCAGACTGTCGGATAACATCAAGCCCTTTACCCGAGCGTCTTTTCTAACTGAATGTCCTACGTTCTCGTAACCTCCGGGACGTCAGTTCCCGTCCAGCCAAACACCCAGTAGGTGTTGCCAGCCTTGAACCAAGGAGCAGGGAGCTGTCGTCTCTCCCTGAATGTGAGAACGTCTTTCTTCCATCTCAGGACCAAAGGCCTCGTCTCCACCACCGGAGTGTCCGTTGGTCACGGATTCTGTGCCTGAGAAGCATGAGGTCCCCTCTCAACTCTCTGAGTGCCTGATGGGTTCCCTCTCCTTCCTGAGGGTCACAAGGTCTTGCGTGCAGGGAAGTCTTTCGTGCCCTACCCGAGAGTCACACGCTTTATCTCCTCCAGCTGGTGTCGGGAATCTCGTCACTGACCGTCAACTTCCGTCTTGAGGTTCCATCTCCATAGATGACCGAGGGCTCTCCCCTTCCTTGCTTTAGAATAAGCACCTCTCCTCTCCCTATCCAAGTGCCACAGGTCTTATCTTCCCTGCCCACCTAATTGTCGGCACATCTTACTTCCTCCGAAGGGTTGTCCAGAGACCTCGCCTCACGCGCCTGACTGTCCAGAAGCCGCCGTTTCTGTGGGCGTCCCCAGACCTCCTCTCCCTGCAGGGCAGAAGGCCCTGCCTCGCCTGCTGCTGGGCAGGACGTCTCATGTGCTTACCAGGGAGTGACGAGGCTTGCCCCCCAGTGCGTGGCGGGCTGACGTAGCGCCCTCACTGAGTTTCCACATGCGTTATTTCCTTCTCTGCCAAGCAAGAGGGGTTATTTCACTCGAATGCAATCGGATCTCAGTATCAACTATGCGAATGTCACGAGATTTTCGTCTCTGCTACCTGCATGTCAGGAGGTCCCCCTCCTTCCTGAGTGAGTGCGAGGAGGGCTGGTCTCCATGTCAGAGAGAAGGAGGGCTGTGGGGACACTGTCTGACTCGGAGGGTCTCTCGCCCTCCACACCTGACGGTCACAGAACTCGTTCCTGCCGCACAGGTGTCTCTCGCCTGCACAAGCGTCCGAGGTCTCTTTTTCCTCCTGTTTTCCCCCCTCCCTCCTCACCCAGCCCCTTCCTCTCTCCCTTCCTTTCTTCCTTCATCTTAATGTCGGCTGGTCTCACCTCCTCTGTCAAGGTCGGGGGCCCATTTCGCCAGCCTGAGTGTGCGCAGGTGCCGCGTGCCTGAGTGCCAGGTTGCATCTGACCCAGTAACCGAAATCGGCTTTGGAAACATAGTTCAAGAAATGGCAATAAGGCTTCAGGAAGTGATATTAAAGTTTTCACTCTTAAAGAAAAGTCGATTCAGGTGTTTTTACGGGATTTGGGCATAAAATTGACATGGTATTCAGATCCATGAGAATTATTCAACAGAATCGTAAATATTTATTTTAAATGTTAATATGCACAATCTTCTGAAAATCACAATAGCAAATATTTAGACATGACGAAAATATTCTATGTGAAACACAAAACTTCCTCATTTTTCAGACATTAGGGGTGATGCGGTAATAAAGTTAGAAGACGTGACATCTAGAGTCCGGACTGCCATCGGCTGACCCCTCGGAGCGAGGCCCGCACGGATCCTGGAAGGGGCTGTGGGCCCAGCCCACGGCCCACAAGGGTTAATTCTGTCCTCGAACCTGATGGAAGCAGCAACCCTCTCTAAGAGGGACTTTGTCTGCCTTCTCATGCTGTCCCCAAAGTGTGCGGGAGGCAGGAGGAAGGTACGAGGCGGCGGGGACTCTGGGCCAAGGCTGACTGCGAGGTTGCAGTGGCCTCGGCCACAGTGGAGCTGCCACAGCCTCCGCCTACACGTGGCCCTCCCGCTGGCCCCTGCCTTGCTTCCGCTCCTGCACCCGCCCTGATCCCCGCAAGCCGTCCAGCGCCCACTCCATACCTTGGCACCCTGATCCCTGAGCCCTTCTGGTTCCCACCTGTCCCTGTGTCACCTCCCCCATCCCTGCTCGGTCCCATGCCACCCCGTACTCCAGCACGGCCCAGTGTGAGGAGGGGCTACAGCCTCCGTGCCATTTCCCCGAGGGAGTGCTGGTGAGTCGCTTGGGACTCGAGGGGACAGCTCCTCTGCAGCCCGTGCCCTGGCGCTACGGCCACCGCCCTCACAAGATCCCTAGCTCCCTTCCAGTCTGGTGTGGCGGTGTCCACCCACTCACCTCACCGCTCATCCCCCTTCCACTCACTGAGGCCCCTCTGTCCTGCCGGCTGGCCACCCACCGCCACGTGCCACACAGGACCTGCCCCACCATTGGCTGGGGCAGCAGGCTGCTCACGTGACTGTCGGCTCAGGGAGAAGTAAGGCCTGACAGCAGCCGAGGGAGCAGGACCAGCGCGAGGCGGGACAGGGCCCGAGCACAGGGGCAGCAGAAGTTAGAAATGGCTGGACACAGTGGGACAGGGGCCCCGAGTAGTCACTCCGTGAGCCGCTGGGCAGAGAAGAGCTTCCAGCGAGGCCTGCGTGCGCAGAGCTCTGCCAGGGCCCAGACAGGTGCAGGAAGCGGGCGGCGGGCACGGGGGCCGGCAGGGAGGCCGGGTCAGAGGCAGCGGTCTGAGCCGCCGGCGCACGTGGCTGCAGGCTCGCCCCAGGCCGGCCAAGCGGCAGCAGAGCCTGTGCCCCCAGCAACCCCTCAAGCAGACAATTGAGAAATCGTTTCATTTCTTATAAATTTATTACATAATATTATAATAATTATTATCAATAATAATATAAGAAACATAGATCTCTGTGGGGTGTATCACAACGTCAGGGTCAGGAGGCCTCGGGACTGGAGCAGGGGTGAAGTCCCCGGGCGGAGCTCCATACAAAAGGGGGGGTGAAGCGGGACTGACCCTGTAAAGTTAAAAACCCAAATTGAACGGAACCAAAAACCCACAGGTGAGTGTGAGACTGAGTGTGTGTGTGGCAGTCGGTTACAGTGACTGCGGTGTGTGGGACCTGGTCTGTTGGTGGAGGGGGGACTGAGTGTGACTCTGCCCAGGGAATGGGGCCGGTGGGCAGGGGACGGGGTGGGCGGGCACAAACCGGCATGCCAGGCCCCTGGGCTGTGAAAACTTCTGTTTTCTGTTTTTTTTTTTTTTTATTAAAAAAATCTAGAAATATAAACAGAAACTTGTGAGTGACGTGGATGGAGCTTAGTCCAGACTCCAAACCCTAGGTTTAAAAACGCCCCAGGGTGCCCCGCCACACAGGTCATTGCTGAGCGGGAGTCACAGTAAGAGGGGCTGGGATGCCCTCTGGGGTCTCTGCT